TATCGAGGTCCAAGAAAAATGTGTGCCTGTCCTGTTGAACTGACCATCTGAGGGGTAAGGCAAGTACAGGTGCTGTTCAAACACAAAAGAAGGGGATTTTACCCAGCCTGGATGGGAGGAGACTATGAAGAGTCAGAAAAGGCTTCCTGGAGGCTGGAACAATAAATACAATAGACAAACACAAGGGATGGTGCTAGGCAGCAGAAAGATCAGAAGGAGGGATCAGACCCGAATTCCAAACCTGACTCTGCAACAACTAGGGTTTGACCTTGACCATGCCATTTGACCTTTCTAGGTCTTATTTTTGATATAGGATATGGGAAAATTAAATCAGTCAACTAACTCTTGCTATGCATCAGAATTGCCTGGAGCTTTGTAAAAGGCACTGGCTCTCTCCTCTAGAAATGTGGTTTTAATTGATGGGGCATCAGTGTTTTTTTCAAAAGCTTTCCAGACAATGCCAATCTGCAAGCCACGGCTAGAATCACTACATGAGATGATCTCTCAATTGTAGGTGCACAATAATATCCTCTGGGGAGCTTTTTAAAAGCCCAATGCTGAATACTCCACACAATTAAACCAGAATCTCTGGAGTAGAGTCATCAGTAATTTTAAAGTTCCCCAGCTGATTCCAGGCCGCACCCAAGGTTGTCAACCACTATTCCAGACCCTGGTAATACTTCAGTGTCTCATTCCACACAATGAGGGGCAGGAAAAGAAAGAAAAGAGAGGTTCGGAAGTTTCTCCCTCCCTCATTTCTATGTCAAATTAAAAAGAACTGAATGCCAGAGGCAACTGATGGGTTTTAAATGGGATTGAACCACACAGTAGGCTGATTTTGGATGTATGTATCACTCGTGTTGATGCGAGACAGGTGGGAAATGCTCTATTCCAAAATGCTCTCGGTTCTAAATTTAAAATTCAATGAAATACTTCTATAAAATGACTCCATGGTGTGCGCTCTGCAATACTTAGTTAGAATTTGATTTGCATGGTTGACTGTAATATGAACATAACATTCCCTACCCTCGAGGTTACTTAAATCCACTTATTTGGCAATGGTGAGCTAAACAAACAGTAATTAGAAACACTGTTGACTACCTTTTAAATCTGTTGCTAAATTATATTTTTCCTGCACCAAAGCCCATACACACAGCATGTCCACAAGCATCACAAAACCAAAGCCTCAGAAATATTTACATTAATAAGGGCATGAGCTACCTCTAGGCCTTCACACATTTTCCTAAGATTCTGCAGGGAAATCTGGCTGCTTTAGAAGAGGGCCATTCATTACTGGTATTTCTCACATCTGGGTAAATAAAACACTGTCTGTGTGTGGTTAAAAGTCACAGGTGAACATGAACTCTCCAGGGGCCTGGAAATGAAGAACATCCCTGACAGCCTCATTTCTTGAAATGAGTCAGAAATGAAAGTAATTCTTCAGAAAGGAACATCTGCACTGTGGCACAACTTATAAAATTATGCCAGATGATGCCTGTGGCTAAAAGGCTGGGCCTGTGGAAGCGGGGAGAGCAGAGAACAGGACCTGAACTTCGCCCTGCACTTAATCTCAGAGACTCACTGTTAGCTTGGAGGGTCTGCAAATGCAATGAGCATCCGGGTGTCCCAGTCCCTGCTGTAAATCTTGATTAGCAGTCAGACTGCTCACATTCCATTAGCAAGCTGGCCCCTTGCCAAAGGGTGGAAGCACCCAGAAAGGATTCATATGCCCTCGTGGGTACGGAAACAGCAATTCCCATAAGAACAACTGTTTTACTTAACTAGAAATAGGTCACGCTTATTAATGATTCGGACAGACCCTTCTTCCTGAGCAGCCCTACAATGCAGAGACAGAAAACCCTGTCCTTCTTACTATGCAGGGAGAGGGGTTGGCAGGGGGAGTGAGGGAGAAAGGCTAACACCTTTTACAACTCTAGTAAAGACCAATAAACAATGACCTAAAAAACAAAGACTTTCTCATGCAAATCAGAGAGGCCAACTGATTTTATCAGCTGGCTCATCACTATTCTTGCCATCTTAGATTTCTGAAAGGAATCCAAGTTCATTGTTTGTAATGGGGGGGGGTGAACCTAGAAACAAATGAAATGCCCATTAACAGGTAACTCAATTTACATCTGACGCATACACAACATAAGATTATGTGGCCATTTTAAAAGCCAATCAGTGTGCAGAAACAGATCTGCACTCCTTCCTCGGATACATTAACACCAGGGGCCTCCATATAATAGCATTTCTATTTAATGTTTATAAAGAAGTTGCCTAGTGTAGGAGAGGGTTAGAAGAGAGTATCATTTTTTCCTTTAATGCTGATCAACACAGTTTGAATTATCTTTTCATATACTTGCCTCCTTGTCCTTTTAATGAGGATTAACTAGGTATCAGGCTATTTTTAGTTTCTTCTTTATACTGGTCTCCATATAATTTAAAATAAATCAGGATGTTAAGGAATTGTGACTCTGCAAAATTCATGTGTTAAAATTCCCAGTACCTCAGGGCTATATTTGAAGACAAGGCCTTTAAAAAAATGATTAAGTTCAATGAGAAGGCTGGTAAAACAAGCCCTAATCCAGTCAGACGGGTGTCACTGTGAAAAGAGGAAATGAGGACACAGAAAGAGACCTCAGGGGTGTGTGGACACGGAGGCATGACCATGCAGTGACACAGAGAAGGCGGAACACGGGGAGAGGCCTCAGAAGAGATCAAATGTGCTCACACCATGACCTTGGCCTGCGGCACCCAGAACTGCAAAAAAGTATGGTGTCTATCGGCTCTTTAATGGTCCAGTCAGCGATACTCTGTTACAACAGCCTTGGCAAGCTAATTCAACACACAGAGAGCTGTAATCTCACTAACAACGTGGAGAGAAGCACCCATAAAAGTCTTCCATGAGCAAAAACCTAATGTGGCCACTCTGATGCTGATGGCCTCATCTGGAGTGTACAGAGCTGAGGCTCATGGCGCCTGACTAAATCAGGTTTTCCCAATAAGCAATGTAAGGCTGGACCACAGCAGCCCTCCCGCCTCCGCATTCAGGACTACTCTTTCTGCTCATGAGACTCGTCTTTTATAGGATTTTTAATAAATCCAATAACTCAAAGGATGAGAGCCCAAGATTATTTATTACTGACTATTGAAGGCTTGGCTTAGATTCAAAAGGCTTTTTTTTTTCCTGTGCTAATAACTAATGAAGAAGAAAGTGTCACAGTAATATTAATTCAATTTTTTTAAAAAGACTCCACCAGGACTTTTTAAAAATCTGGGAAAACAAATGATACATCCTATTCATGTGACAACCTAATTTTTATACTTTAATACATATGGTTTCAGACCATAATACAATGAATGTATTAGAAAAAATGAACATCCAAGGCTAAAATTTCTTTATATAATTTTATATGTTTTTGGAAATCAGTCAATCTTTTCTTTTTTTAAAGAGTTTAGAGATCAAAGACACAAAAAGCCTGGCAACTCGAGAAGATCAAAACTTGAAGATAAACATGTACTTGGTACAGCCAGTACAGGATCCATGCCTGCGTTCCAGGCAGGCAGAATCGCTTTTGCCTGGAATAGTCAGGGAAAGTTTCACCAAGGGCTTGGAGTTTAAACCAATGTGAAATTGGATACAGAAAGGCTAAGAAGGGATTTCTGTCCAGCTTACCTATCACTGAGCATAAAGTTTCTGAAGGCAACAACTGTGTTCCTAAGATCCTAACAGAATGCCTGGCAAATAGTAAGCATTTGCCAACAGGGGCAGGGAAACAGGTGGAAAACACGACATGTTCACCTGTGGTTAAGTCTGCACTGCAGGGTTCTTACATGTAAGTTGTAGGATGTAAAACTGAAGACGTTGGGCCAATTCTTAAAGTTTGTGCTTTATCCCTATTCAATGTAAAGTTTCTGAAGGTGTTTCTGAGGAAGAGAAGAATATAATAAGGGACCATCAGTGATACACAGAATTGACTATAGGTGGTGGAAAACAACAAAAACTAGGTATCAGGAGAAAAACAGGGTGATCAGTTGGGGGAAAAAATCCTCATCTGTAAAATGGTCAATCATACTATCAATTTTCATAGGGCTATTGTGAAAATTAAACTGGATAATGGAGGTGAAGTACATAATATGAAGCCTGACAGTAAGCACTTAGGAAAATATACTTGCTATTAAATGATAAATGCTTATATAAATATATTTTTATTATTATTATTATTATTCCACACTGCAGGAAAAAATAAGTGTGAGAACAAGGATGAGGTACAGAGCCAGGGTATTTTCAAGTTTAATCAGAGATTTGAGGAATGCTAATGATTTGTCATTTTTGCACATGAGATGTGCTATATCTATTCCTTAGTTATCCAGAAGTTAATGCATCAATACAGTGGGTCCAACACAGGTGGAACAGATGCCTAAAATTATCCTTAAAATAAAGACACTCCAAAATCAATTTTAGGTTGCTTTTGTACAAAGGTAACTACCCAAGCAAATGCCAATCAGTTTTGAAACACCAAATTAATGGACTCAGCTATAAATCCAGGAAAACCATTTTCATAATGAAAATGCCAATGCCTTTTTAATTAAGGATAGAACTGCCAACATAAAAAGACTTACAAGAAATGAAGAATTGCTCCTTTCACTCATAAATGAAAAAACCTGATAATACTGTGAACTGTTTTTAGTTTTGAATACCAGAAATTGTTGAGAATCCAAGCTCCAGAATTTTCCAAGTGCACAGCAATCACTTGATACTGGAGCTCTCAGCCTCAAGCCAAATTTGGTGCTCTGGCATGGTAAATTTCTTCTCTAAATCTTATTAGCAGGGAGCCCATGTTCCTGTTTTTAGTGTCATTATGTAGATATGAAGCTCTACTAAGGATAATAGCATTCTAACACCAAGCAATACTATTTTATTTTATCTTGAAAGATTTACTTTACATTTTTAAAGCATATGTACATTGAGACTAATATATCCAATCTCCACTTACAGCTACTCTGCATAGCTTGTGTTACCTCCACCTCCAGTCAGATTGAGAGAGACTACCTCTCCATATAAAATTAGGCAACTATGGGTTAACTATGTTATTAGGTAACTATGGGTTAACTAGGTAACTATGTTCTTTGTAGAATGTACCTGAGTGGCCATGACAACTTCTGTAATCTGTTATCACAGGAGTGTAACAGACTCAGAAATGCTGCCAGCACTCTTTGCTCTCCCCTCCTTCACTGCTCTGCTTTGTGTAAATCCTGCTTGCTATATTCCTAGGGAAAGTCCAATGGAATTAAGCTTCACAGATGTAAAAAGAGTTATATAAGGAAGCACAAACTTTTATTCAGGGCTCTCAAGACTAACGGAAGTCACTCACTGAGCCACTGGCCTCATTAAAAGCTGCTTTTGCTCCAAAAAAAAAAAGACTAATATATCCATGTATATTCAAGGTAAATTTTTATTACCTAATCATTATCTGTTAGTTATTATGAAATTAATACATCAGAGGTCTGTACTACGAGTCCTACTCTCAATATTAATAGTCTAATTAAAAACTGTTTCATATTTGGTCCAGGCCTAGCACTGCTGTATTACTTTTTCAAATTTATAAGAAGTAAAAGTTAAAATTACCCAAAGGGTCTAAATGAGAAAAAATAGGACGTAACTGATTATTCTTGCTAGAGTTCACAGAAACTTGCCGAAAACTAAAAGGGCCCAAAAAGCAGTAGCTGGCAGTCAAAGAAATGAGCAGACTAAGGACAAAGTAGAATAAAGATACAAATAGTGTAATTTGCTGAGTGCTGATAAACACTAGCCAATATACATATGGTTTCAAAACTAAAAATGAGTAACATCTTGGTAAAAGCAGAGAATACAATCAGGAAGTAAAATCCAGGAAGAAAAGAATTCCTCTGGGACAGAACAAAGGCTAAAGACAACTTGTAGCAGAAAATGGGATGATCACTAAGTAAATTAAGAGACAGGAGTTTTAATCCCACTTTTGTTTCTACCCAACTGGCTTCCTAGCTTTCTTTCAGAATTTTCCTAATTTCTCTAAGCCTCAGAATTCTCACCTACAGTTTGAACAGGGAAGACAATATAATATTCCAGCTCTAATAATAGGACTTTCTCTTCAGATGATGAACAGATACTGTTTTGTTTTGTTTTTTTAAAAAAAGGCTACTTTTGTTTCGCAGTACGCTTGTACTTCACAAGTCTGAAATTTTACAGAACAGAACCAGGCTCTGTAAGAATGCACATGAAACACAGACCTAGACCATTTGTCAAACCCAGGCCCCTCAAATGTGCACAAACAGCTGGAAATAACATCAGCCTCGTTCATCTTCCCTTCGCTTCTGACCTCTACTAGCTCTTCCCAGTTGGAAACACTCATTTTTCCACTCCAATTCTTCACACCATCCTGTCAGAGCCAAGATATATACAAATTGATTAGAAGTGAGTAGAGTTTACAAGATGTAACAGGCGACAGAAATGTTTAATGGCAGCTTCTAACCTTGAGGACATGAGGGCAGATAACAATTACCAGTATTTTCCAGCAGCAGGTTGTACTGCTCCTGTCAGAATGAGGAGCCCAGTGGTAATTCCACCTTACAAAGACTTCAAAACACAGTCTGAAATGTGGACACTGATATTTACAAATACCTCACAATTATTATGTATACTACCAAAAAAGTCAAATACATGCCAGATCTGCAATCCTCAAGGACTGACCATGCAAATTACATCTCAAGTTAAATTCCCCTCATTTATCTTACGTAGACCCCAATGCTTATTTACTGCACTACAGGATTCAAATTGTCTACTTATTGGCTGTTCCCTCCCCCAGTTTTAAGGTCCTGGAGGACAAATACCACATTTCATTCACTGCCTTAGCCATAAAGTCTTGCTCAGAGTGGATACAAAATAAGTATCTGTTGAATGTTTGCAGGTAAATGCATTCTAATAAATTGTATGCAATGGAGTAGTATCTGTCCATTAAATGTGGCTTGTGAACCATTTTTAAATATAGGGAGTTCTGGGCTGGGGATTTAGCTCAGTGGCACTGTGCTTGCTGTGCAAGGACAAGGTCCTGAGTTTGATCCCCGGTACCAAAAAAACAACCAAACAAAATAAAGAAAGAGAGTGCTGATGATAGAAAGTCCTGGAAATGGACAGTACTGTGGAAGTGGTGACAACTGCATAACCGTGAACATACTTAATGCCACTGAACTTTAAAAACAGGTAAAATGGTAAATTTTTGGTATATTTCATCACAATAAAATAAACACATATAAGGAATGCTTATGCAGCAAGGTAAGTGAAGAGGCAGGATACTAATGGCTAAACTGTGTAAAATTGCATCTACATTTTTAAAAAGGTGGAAGCACAGCTCACCCAACCAATAGTGAGGTGGTTTATCTTTAGGAGGTAATATTAGGGGCGATTTGTGGTTTCTGCAATGTTCTGTATTCTCTAAAATTTTCAGTGGTTCACATAAAACATTTACAAGCAGAAAAAGGTGTTGCGTAGCAGAAGTCAGGGACAGGAAGCTCTAGCTATAAGCAGGGTAAATCCAGATCAAAATCATTCACCTTGCTATCATCTTTGATGTATACTGCACATCACTTGTACTTGCCGACATCCATGTAGACTAGTCCCAAAGCATGTCATTTGAGTTAAAATTTTATCTTTATTGTACTGAATTTGGGGGGTTTTTTTTCTTTTTACTACACCAGAAAGCACACATTTCTGATTTGCTTCACCACAAGTATGTTTCATTCAGACGGAGAAGTAGCAATTGATGGTTGTTCTAGACATACAAGTGACAAACTAGACCACAAGCTGCTATTCTCAGAGTATGGGGCAGCTTTCAGGAACCCGTGATGAAAAATCTAGATACCCTCTGTAAACAGCAGATCCAACATATTTACGGATAACTAAAACAAGACTTTTGGAGTCACACTGGCTTGGGGCAATGGGCACAGACTGAGGGCTGCCACTCACGCAAGTCATGAGCGCTCCTGACCTTATCTACACAAATAAATGGGGAAAATATTATCTCCTTCCTTGGGTAGTAAATAGGACAATGCAAATCAGAGATGGAGGAAAATCCTGAACCTGTGTTTCAACAACAGGGGCTCAATCTATGTCATTTGCTTCTTTCTCTCTGTCAGGTCCCCCGCCCAAGCAGACCTGCTACCCACATCCACAGGAGTACAGAGATAACAAGAAGCCAGCAGCCGCCCTGTTGCTCCCACCGCCCTGTTTATTAGCCAGCCCCAGGCCTATTACCCATGGGACTCTAAAATCTTCTGCCCCCTCGACCAGTGTGACCCCTCCCTTACCTAAAATGCCCCATATCAACCACAAGCACTCCCCTCTCAGTGCCAACAGCCTTCTCACCCTTGGCCCACCTGCACCCAGACGGCAATAAACTCACTGCGTGTTGCTCATACTCTGCCTGCCTCGGCGGTCTCAACCGTGCTTCAGTCTGACATTACACTCTTCTCTTTAGATCAAGTGTCTGAGGGCCGGGGATCTAGCTCAGTGGTTCCGTTGCCTGCCTCGCAAGCGCAAGGTCCCGAGTTCGATCCCCCGTACCAAAAGAAAAAAAGAGTATAGATCAAGTGTCTGAATCAGAAAAGCAACAGTGAAATATTAAAAATAATCAACTCCTTATAATTAACAAAGCTACTATGATAGAAGTATAGAAAAATAGACTACTTTCTTCTAATTCACCCTTCAGAAGCCCTCACAATATTGAAGACAATTTTCCTATTCTACGTTCCTTAATAATAGGAAAATATCTATCACTATTCTTTGTCTTTTATATACTGCAAACCATGAAGTCACCCTTCAATTTGTTCTTCAGCAAGTCCCACTCTCAAGTCATACCTTCCTTTAAACACAGCTGTGCCTCTTCAGAGCTCTCTGCAAGTTCCCCCCACATTCCGCTCTCTAGAATCTGTCTGAGCAGGACTGAGCACAGGACAAGAGAGGACAGCGCCTGAAAACACATCCCAGTGCTATGTTGAAAAACACAATGAAGCACTATACTTCTGAAAGTTACTTGACTCTGAATGACTGATGGGGTATGTGGCATTCCTGAGCAGAGAAGTGTGATCAATAGTGCTCTCCATGTCTGCCCATAACCACTGTCCTTTGCTTTGCCTCTGGTTATTAACATTGTTTAGCAAGCTGATACCATCAAACTTTAATCAGATCAACACTATACCAAATTCTTCCCTTTAAAAGAACAGCTTCTATCGTTGCAAAAGATCAGCACCTGTCCTTGATTAACTCCTACCCCAGTGCCTCATTAAGGAAAGGGTAATGGAAATCTTCAGCTGTTTGGGGTTTCTTTTGTGCAGGCTGAACTGTACCAACCAAGCTCCACTACCTTCAGGCTGGAAAACTGAAGCTCATTCTTTCAGTAAACGTGTACTGAGCCCAGTGCTAAGTGCTGCAAAAATAAGCTACTCTTGCTTATTGGAAGAAAAAATATAAACAATTTTTTGCAGTGTAATATACTCTAAAACAAAGGTATGTACATAGAGGGCTCTTATGGCTGCACAGAGGGTGAACAGAGAGGACGCTGAATTGGCCTGGGCAGGACTCTACGGGATTCACATATCTCTTTACCAACCACTGGGGAATGAAAGATCTGATCTACAATGGGGGGGGGGGGGTAAGGCTGTCGCAGTCTTTTAATGCAGTTGATTTAATACCACTGCCATTAAACTGCTTTGCTTCATGCGCTTGCTGTCCTGCTCTCCTCACTCAGTCACCTCATTTTAATTTCAGAATAAAATATACAGCACTTCCATTCTCTCTCCAGTCTTTCAACCCGATAATGTTTTCTGCTTTGACTATGAGGGAGAGAACATTGCAATGGCTTAGTTGGAGCAAATAAGGAGGTAGAAATGAGCCTGCTTGCTGAAAGGAGCTGGAAAAGGGTATGGAGCCATTATAAGAAACACCCATTTTGCCCAGGTCCTCCGTGGCTCCAGGTGAGGACCTGCCCTGTGCCAGTCCAGGAGCTCTGCTGCC